CTATGACCAGTGTGTTCTCTTGGCAAAACTCTGTTAGCCTTTGCCCTGCTTCATTCTGTACTCAAGCCCAAATCTGCCTGTTCCTCCAGGTTTCTCTCTACTTCCTACTTTTGCATTCCAGTCCCCTATAATGAAAAGGACATCTTTCTTGGGTGTTAGTTCTAAAAGGTCTTGTAGGTCTTCATAGAACCATTCAACTTCAGCTTCTTCAGCATTACTGGTCGGGGCATAGACTTGGATTACTGTGATACTGAATGGTTTGCCTTGGAAATGAACAGAGATCATTCTGTCATTTTTGAGATTGTATCCAAGTATTGTATTTCAGACTCTTTTGCTGACTATGATGGCTATTCCATTTCTTCTAAGGGATTCTTGCCCACAGTAGTAGATATAATGGTCATCTGAGTTAAACTCACCCATTCCCATCCATTTTAGTTCACTGATTCCTAAAATGTCGATGTTCACTCTTGCCATCTCCTGTTTGACCACTTCCAGTTTGCCTTGATTCATGGACCTAACATTCCAGGTTCCTGTGCAGTATTGCTCTTTACAGCATCGGACCTTACTTCCATCACCAGTCACACCCACAACTGGGTGTTGTTTTTGCTTTGGCTCCGTCTCTTCTTCCTGGAGTTATTTTTCCACTCTTCTCCAGTAGCATATTGGGCACCTCCCCACCTGGAGAGTTCATCTTTAGTGTCCTATTTTTTTTTTTTGCCTTTTCATACTGTTCATGGAGTTCTCGAGGCAAGAATTCTGAAGTGGTTTGCCATTCCCTTCTCCAGTGGACCACATCTTGTCAGAACTCTCCACCATGACCTGTCCATCTTGGGTGGCCCTACACGGCATGGCTCATAGTTTCATTGAGTTAGACAAGTCTGTGGTCCATGTGATTAGATTGGTTAGTTTTCTGTGATTGTGGCTTCAGTCTGTCTGCCCTCTGATGTCCTCTCTCAGCACCTACGATCTTATTGGTGTTTCTCTTAACTTGGACGTGGGGTATCTCATCACGGCTGCTCCAGCAAAGCTCAGCCACTGCCCCTTACGTCGGGTGTGAGGTATCTCCTTATGGCCACAGCAACTGACCTTGGACGTGGGGTATCTCCTAGGCCACTCACCATTCCAGTGCCGCGCAGCTACCTCTCGCATTTTTCGAGTTTATTGGCCTTCTTAGGTCACATTCCTGAAAGTTTAGTTACTGAGTCAAAAGATATGCAATGTGTGTGTGTGTGTGTGTACATTTGTGTTTCTGTATGTGTGTCTGTATGTACATGTATAGCTGTATAGTATCTGCCTCTTTAAAGGTTACATTTTTTTTTCTAAAATGCTCTTTTGTAATAACTGAACCAAATGTATACTCTCACTACAGAGTATATAAACTCTATTTTTTTTCATACTCTGAACAGCCCTTTCTTTTTTTAAACTTTTTATTTTGTATTGGGATATAGTCAATTAACAATGTTGTGATAGTTTCAGGTGAATAATGAAGGGATTCAGCCATACATATACATGTATCCATTCTCCCCCAAACCCCTCCCATCCAGGCTGCCACATGACATTGAGCAGAGTTCCCTGTGGACAGCACTGAGTTTTAAATCTGTTGTTGGTTTGACAATTTGGTAGGTAACTATAGCATCTCATTTATTTTAAATTGTTTTTATTATGAACAAGACTGTCTATCTTCTTATAGTCTGGAGCAGTTTATATTTCCTTTTTTGTGAATGGCTTATTTCTTTTTTGTGTGGGGTTGTTCTTCTTTATTTCTGTGTGGATTTATAAGACCTCTTTACATGCTTAAGAATGTTCACCTACCTCTGAGGGTTCAATAAGGTCCAAATAGTTCAATTAAAATATCATTCCTAGTATGTTAATATATACAATATAATACACAGGTATATTATTATATAAAATACAATAATATTCCTAATAATAATATGAATTCATTGCAGGGAAATAACACACTGCCACAGGAAGGGCCCCTGGGAGAACCCACTTTGGGGACCAGAGCCCATCAAGTAAATAAATATAACTTGATAAGAAGACTGACTTCCTTTGGTTTCCACACTGTCTTTTCATTTATAAAGTGTCCTGACAGAGTGTCACGCTACAGCAGCGGATTTTGAATGTTTGCGTGTGACTGGATTCCAGCTGTTCACTGTTACAGGGTCGGTCAGTGACGTGTGTCGGGTCATGGCGGGTCCCCAGCACTGGCCGCTCTCCACGGGATCCAGGAAGGGGCCAGAGCGGCTGTCGCCCTGGCAGGGACCTGCAGCTGATGCAGCAACGTGGCTGCTTACTTCCCTCATCTGCAGGGAAACCCCCCTTTCTCCCAGCAGGAGAAAGTCTGCCTTGGTTTTACCCTTTTCCTCAAAATCTGGATGTTCTATGTGAAGGAGAAGAGGTTCCAGAGCTAGAAAGCTAGCTGGCAATGAGATGAACACACATCACGGATGACGTGTAAGCTAAACTGAAGGCAGGCCAATAAGGGTCACTCACGGCGGGTTCAAATCCCAGCACCACCCTGACTGACCCGGGGCTCAGCTTTCTCACCTGTAAAATGGGAACATGAGTACCTACCTTTAAGGCAGCTGTGAGGCTTAATTGGATTCATTCGCCTATGGATTCTGGCCCAACAAGCATCTTTAGGGCCATATCTCTGATCCCTGTTTATCTATTCTCTAAACAGAGACAGACAGATCCCTGCATGTGAACTATACTTTCCCAAGCAGTAGAAAGGGGCAGATGAGAGCATACACATTCTACACGGTAAATACCATAGCTATAAAAGAGTCTGGTGTGGGTTGAAAGGACTTTTCTTGTTTGTGCTGGATATGACATTAGGTGTTTTTTTTTTTTTAAACTCTCACTTCAGTTGAGGAGTCTGGCAACCATGGATTACCCAACAACGGTTACTATGGCTGCGAGGAGGCAGCAGAAAGAACCTGCCGGCAGTGTTTACTGAAGAAAAGGGAGTCAATAGCTCCGGTAGTTAACTAATGACGGTGCTTTGTCCTTGAGATGAAAAGACAGGAATGACTGCAAAACCTGCAGAAAAACACAGCCTGGCCCTCTCCAAGGAAATCACACTGTGTAACTCCACACGCTGAGAGGAGCCGTCTCCACAGAACTCCGTCAGTATCTCCCCACACAGAGAAATATGCCCAAAGGCCTCCTTTATTCAACATGATAGCCGATTCTCTGTCATAAGCTTCACCATATTCTATTGTCATGTTTATGTTCTTAGCATTTTAGGGACACTGTTCTCACAAAGTGAACGTGAGTGATTCATACTAGGCCAGATTTCTGGATTCCTTTCAAGAACTATGAAATGGTGGGGTGGGGGTTGGTTATGAAATCTCTGATGCCTCCCTGACCTGTTTATATCTGTTTGCAGTGATAGTTGATCATGACCTGTGACGTGGGGATACCGACAGTTATGGTGGGAGAATGAGCCTAAGTTGAGCAGATCTGGCTTCAAATTCTGTCTCTACCCTTTAGAGATTATGTGACACTTGTTAGTTATTTAATATCTCTGAGCCTCAAACTTCTCATCTGCAAACTGAATGTAACACTTATATTGAATATCACACTACCATATGACCCAGCAATCCCACACCTGGGCATATATATATGGAGAAAACCATAATTAGAAAAGATACATGCAATCCAATATTCATTGCAGCACAGTTTCCAATAGCCAGCACATAGAAGTACCCTAAATGTCCATCAACAGAGGAAGGGATAAAGAGGATGTGGTACACACACACACACACACACAATGGACTATTACTCAGCCACAAAGAATGGAATAATGCCATTTGCAGCAACATGGATGGCCCTAGAGATTGTCATATTGAGAGTGATGTAAATCTTATAGAGAAAGACAAATATCTATGATATTGCTTATATATGGAATCTAAAAAAACAGGGTACAAATGAACTTATCTACAAAATAGAGTTACAGATGTAGAAAACACAGCTGTGTTTACTGGGGGGAAAGGGGGAAGGGATAAACTGGAAGATTGGGGCTGACATATACACACTACTGTATATAAAATGTGATAACTAACAAAGACCTACTGTATAGCATCCGGACCTCTACCCAATACTCCGTAATGACCTACATGGGAATAGAATCTAAAAACAGTGCAGATATATATTTATATATCTATAACTGATTCACTTTGCTGTATTACAGAAACTGACACAACATTGTAAATCAACTATACTTCAATAAAAAAACTTAAAAGGAAGTTAAAAAAAAGGGGGAATTTGAAGACAGACACACAAGATCAGGGAGAAGGCCATGTGAAGATGAAGGAAGAGACTGAGGAGATGTTTCCACAAACCAAGGAACACTGAAGATGGCCAGCAAACCACCAGAAGCCAGGGGAAAAGCCGCGGAACGGATTCTTCCCCAAAGCCCTGTTGCCGATAGCTGTGAGACAATAAACTTCCATCATTTAAGCCACCCAATCTGGGGTGCTTTTCTCTGCAACCTTAGCAAACTACTACAGGCCGCAGTCATGGGTTTATATTTGTTTTTTTTTTTTTTTTTGCCATTGTATCTAAAGAGCTTAGCATAATAGGAGCTTAAAGCATATTTGCTGAAAGAAACATTTGTACTCTGGAGAACAAAGAGTTGTGGTTCCTGCCCTTGAACATCTGATAACATGATGGAAAACACAGAGAAGGAAAAAGACAATTCAAAGTGTAGGCTCAAGGCCAGGTCACAGACGTGTTTGGTCAAGCCAAGCCCTAACTCGGATGGGTGGGCAGCACTGGATCGCCACCCGGGAGATATCCCAGCGCCTGAATGTTGAGGTAGGAGTTAGTCAAGCAGAGGAAGAGAACTGGAAACAACAGAGAGGACAGAACCCAACAGCAAGTGAGAACACCGACTGTCTGAGGACCTGTGAGTAATTTGGTGTAAAGATAAGCTGGAGCCTGATCTTGAGGGGAACCTGTGTAGTCTGGGAACCAACGAGCTGGATTTAAACATGGTGAGTGAAATGTCTGGGCAGGCTTGAGTTCTAGAAGTTTCTCTCTGGCAAAAGCGGGGGTCGATGACAGGCAGAGTGAGTCACAGCCGGGATGCTCACTGCTCTTTATGGACTTTAGAAGTGGAAGGGGGAATTTTTAACAACCCCTGCTCCCCCACCTCTTGGGCAGGCAGCCTCCCCAGGGCTGGGCCTGGTTAGGACCTGCCTGTAAGGTACACATCCTGCCCCACAGACCAGCTCCTATTTTGTCCTTTTAATGGGCAGCAGTATCTCATCACCAGATGTGTTGTACTACTTACTATTTTTAAGACCAGACAGTCCCCACTCTCCTAGAATCTGCCTCTAATTCTTGGAAGTTGGGGTAAAACCACATGTTTTTCATCATTCCTCAAAACCACCAGCTTGGAGCACGTAGCTTTGTGACACTAGGGAGGAAGCCATGGACATCTGTGTGGTGTCTCTGTTCCCACTCAGGCTTCTCCGGTAGAAGAAAGCAAAACGGTGCAAAGCTGGGAAGACGACGGGGAGGATCAGAGGACAGACGGGGTCCCGAAGGAAGGAGGCTGCCCGAGACACAGCTTCCCCAAAAGAGACAGGAGCAGAGGTGGGGCTCCCGGATCTGAGGCCGGCCCCCCGACTCCCATTGCAGCACACACCCAGGGGGTCTGCTCAAAGTCAAAGCACCTACTGCGGTCCTGTCTTCTCCATCACCTCTCAGGGGACGGTGGTTGCTCTGCACACTGCTTAAGTCTGGAATGCAGGCAGGCTAAGTGAGCTTGTTCTAGAGGACGGAGGAAAGCACTTAGCGGAGCATACGCAAGGCCTGGCCGCTGCCGCATCCGTCCAAGGGGCTTCTGCATCCTCAAAAACTGCCCCCAATGGCCACCAGGACCGAGCCTGGTCCCAAGCCCCATGGAAGCCAGTGGGATGGATGTGGTCTGGGCCCTGTGGGCAGGGGTAGTGACAGAGCCTATTTGCCCCTGCAGACCCCAAATGCCAGGGGACCCAGCTGCTGACCTTTAGATTATGACATAATGACAGGGCTGCTGTTGACTTTTGCATCGGCACCTTCGGCCAGCCCGGAGCCTACCTCGATGGGTCATCCTTCTGACAGTGCCTCAGAGGCACCGAGGGACACAGAAGAGCGGGGACGCTGCGGAACGATGGGGGTCACCGCAGAGCAGGGCTGCCACCTGTGTGGGCACACCCCGATGACATGGAATTTCCCTGCTGGTCTGGACAGTGTTCCATGGGCTTTTCTCTTACTTCCTCTCTTCGATCTTGAGAGAGTGTTATTACTGATGTACCCAGTGTCCTGTTACACTCTAGTAGAGGTTGCATTTCAGCAGTGGATCACGGAGGTTTCTTACATGTGAATTGGGCCTATACATCCTCCTGAGAGGCTCATTCCTACCTCTGTAGCATGGCCATCGAGTCTGATCAATGTATCCAGCGTTAAAAGGCTGATTTCTTAGGATGCCAAGACGATCAAGCAGTGAGAGGCTGTTTAGAGAATCACGAATCAATATGAGAAAAATTAATCAATTGAATCTGTTTTTTTCTCTCGTCAATCTGTCTTTTGCTAATATAATTTGCAGGGCCACCAGATACCAAATGTAGGAGGGTAGAGAAAAAGTTTTTCCTACCCTGCGGTATCATTAGAAACTTAAGAGATGCCGCAGTTAAGGCTTGGCCCACTCTGAACCGATGCTCCCAATCTACAATCTCAAACCTATTTTTCTCCTCCTGAATTGATTATATACTGACCTAGAGAAGATAAAAACCAAAGACACTTATGAAGGTAACACTAAAGATACCCTTATCCAGCTGGGTGGAAAAGTCCATTTAATAAAGTGATCCATAACTAAAGGTGAATTATCACCAGTTTTTAAATTTTTGCTAGATGTTGAAATTAAATGAATAAAAAGCATGGGGCTTAAAGTCTAAGGAACTTTATTTTTTATTTTTTCATTTATTTTTATTAGTTGTAGGCTAATTACTTTACAATATTGTAGTGGTTTTTGCCATACATTGACATGAATCAGCCATGGATTTACATGTGTTCCCCACTAAGGAACTTTAAAAATGCTCCCAGATCCCACCTCTGCTTCTTAGCAGCTTTTGGCTTTGGGGAAGTTATGGATTATCTGAGCTTCAGTCTGTGCTCAGTCTCTCAGTTGTATCTGACTCTGCGACCCCATAGGCCAGAGCCCATCAGGCTCCTCTGTCTATGCGATTTTCCAGGCAAAAATACTGGAGTGGGCTGCCATTTCCTCCTCCAGGGGATCTCCCCAACCCAAGAGATTGAACCCGCGTTGGCAGGCAGATTCTTAACCACTAGCGCCACCTGGGAAGCCCAAGCTTCGATTTGCTCATCTGTAAAATTCAGTTGGTGGCACTCAGTAGGAATATAGCAAAGTCTGAAATCATTGACTATGTGGATAGATGAGGGGTGGACAGTCATTGAATCAAAAAATCGTTAAATTGTTAAATTCAGGCTTAATGGTTCCAACTCAAAGACTGTGGAGCTAACAGAGAATTGTTTTCAAGGGCTAGCAGGGTCTATGGAGGAACGAGCTGAGAAGCCCCTTGCCTGGTTCCTTAAGCATTCTGGTTAAACATCCAGGAACCATTCTACTGCACGAAACCTAGTGATAATTGGTTCAAGTTTTTATGAACGGATGATCCCTTATAGTTTAATGCATCCAAAAATAATCTCCTTGGCTTTCCTGAATAAGGCCATGCCCAGCTGGGTGAGCATAACACTTTATAAATGCAACTCTCCTGCATTCCACTGGCATAAATCTCAATCAGCTCCCCTGTCCCCATCCTCTGGCCTTTAAAGAAAAGGCAATTGTCCTCCCAAGGAAACATTTTTTGCCACTAACAAAGAGCAAAGGCCTTTTCTGAAAATGTTATTTGCTGTACAGTCACACCTCTGTTGGAATCATTTAACACATGCCGATTTTGTGTTTACGATGGTTTTTCACAGAGTGGCCACAAAACTGAGTTCAAGGCCAAGAGTGATAACAAGTTAAATTGACGATAGCTTTTCAAGATGAATGTTCATGGTAGTGACATGATACTGTTGGCTTTCTCTGCTGTTTGGGGTGCACGCTTACACATCACACACATACAACACTATGAGGCATTTTATAAGTGCACATCAGAGAAACACACTTCTCGTTGACACATTAATGTCCACGGTGACTTGGTTATTCTAAATGTCATGCAGTTAATGTCCAAAATAACTCATCCCACAGCCACGCTTTGGCTCCCAACTGATCATTTTGTTAACGTTAAGATTAGACAGAAAATATTATTTTTAGAGAGTCTGGAATTTTAGCAAGTCTAAGGACTCCTGATGGTCTTATTTATTTTATTGGTGGGGCTCCCCAAAGGAATTTCACACCACAGATAGCAAGAAGTAAGCATTTTCTCATTTACCAAAACCAAAGTTGGCTTACACAGAAATAGAGTGTCACTCAGTGGTATATTTGTGGTACAAAGATGTGAGATCGGGGGCAGAAAAAAGAAGTACATCACCCAGTGTGGTGGTCCTGAAAGATAATTAAAAGCAAACAAAATAATGGGCTCAGTGACAAAATAAGTTGAAGTTGGGCAGGTTTTCTGAAGCTTTGAAATTAAGAAGAGCACTTGGTTCAGGCCAGGGGGGAGAAATGTAGCTTTAGCAGGAGCTGTTGGCTACAGGGATGTTAGGCCTGCCTGAAGTATCTTTTTCAAAAGCTGGAAAGGATTCTTGACACATATGACCCCATAGACACAGACACACACATTAAGAAAAAAAAAAAAAAAAAGATGGTTCCTGGATCTGTGAGTTGCCTTCTTTAATTTTCTCCTATCTCAATACTATCTCATACATCTTACAAGTCCTTCCAATAAAAGAACGGAGGCAGCTTATCCTAACGGGTTTAATGGTGGAAATATGTAGAAATGTAAGGGGGGGCAGAGAAATGAAGACCACTTCAGCTGCTGTAACCAGGAGGCTTAACAATGGATTCAGGTTTTATTCCAGCTTCTGAGAACCTCCTTAAACTAAGGGATGTAAACCTTCACTCGCGGGCATCACGTGGGCCTGTGTGTCTGCAGTAGAGGTTGGGGAGGGCTACGGTCTCATCTTCATCCTCATTTCTCAGTGGTACAGTTCATAGGGTCTCAAAGAGTCAAACACAACTGAGCTCACCACACACACACACACACACACACGCATGCACATATCTGACAAGGAAAGCGAGTCTCAGACTGAATTTCATAAAATAAACATTTAAAGGCAGTAGGCATGAGAGAGTTGCATAACCAGTTCTGTAAACTCAGTGAGGTATCCATTCTCTGTCCTCCTGGCGCTCTGACAAATTCCTTGTGTAACAGATTCACTTAAGGCAGATGTGACAATATTCGAGCACTAGATTTAGCTACACTTCTAGACGGAGTCCTGTGCGAGAATGTTCCTACAGGTCCAGCTTCAAATCTGAAGCCAGAGTCAGCACTGGGAAGGACATACACTATTAATTAGGCTCTCTAGATCATAATGACCATGACCTTTGTAAGTGAGAGCCAGAATGTCTGATACAGTCCGTTCAGCCAACTCATGTGTTTGAAACACCTTTTATTTTACCAATGAAAATTACTTCTAAGATCTGTTGAGTTAAGTATCCAAGCCGCTGGTGTTTATGGAGAATGAGGACAAGGGAAGTGCTCATAGCGGCCCCTAGAGCAGGGTCTTCCTAGTAATTCCCCTGCATACCTCCCCTGGAGTGTGTATTCAATCCTGAGGAGCGTCCTTCATGATTGTACCTGCTCCTGGGGTTCAGTTAAAAAGAGGCAGAGGTCACACTGCCTATGTCAGTTGCAGACATTACAGCATTTTTTATTGTGATGTTTTATTGTTTCCAGTCTGAATTCAGACAGGAGATCCAGGCCTTCAAACAGGCTCTGAGTTTAAAAGAGCCCTCTCTTGGGCTTACCAGGTAGCTCAGCAGTAAAGAATCCGCCTGCCAATGCAGGCGACCCGAGTTCAATCCCTAAGATCCCATACGCCTCGGTGCAACTTAGCCCGAGCACCCACAACTACTAAGCCTATGCTCTAGAGCCCAAGTGCCGCAACTCCTGAAGCCGGTGTGTGCTAGAGCTCATGCCCTGCAACAAAAGAAGCCATCACAATGAGAAGCTTGTGCACTGGAACGAGAGAGCAGCTCCCGCTCACCAAAACTAGAGAAAAGCCGGCGCAGCAGCAAAGACCCAGCACAGCCATAAATACATAATTTTTTTAAAAAGAAGCCTTAATTCTTAGAAAAAAGAGAAAGAGAGAGCCCTCCCCTGTCCCCGTCCCCATGGCCTGGAGTCATGGTCAGAATCTGCCCATATCCAACTGTGGTACCCGTTTCCTCTTGCCTGAGCCCTGGGCCAGCTCTATTTACCAGATGATGCTAACCAGGTTAGAGCTCAATTCTTTCCCAGGGTCCCCAGCAGAATTAGACTGAGGAAGGGATGTTTTGGCCTCAAGCAATCAGTTTGAACTCTAACATTTTCCTTATATAACTCTAAATGCTCTGATGTTTCTTCTCCGCATGGTTTCTCATTGTTCGATCAAAGCCTGCTGCCTTCAGGGCCATTACAGGACAATGTTCCAAGGGACAGCAAGCAGAAGCTGCCAGCTCTCTTGGGCCTGGGCTCTGGAACTCGCAGGTCTCTTCTGGCACATACTACAGGCCAGAATAAGTCACAAGGTCGTCTCAAATTCTAGGGAGTGAAGAAACAGACTGTGCCACTGAATGGGAGGAGTGGCTAGGTCATGTTGCAAAAAGTATGTGTTCTAGAAAGGGAGGCATAAGCAGCCATTAAACAATAAACCAGTTCCATTAAAGGTATTTTATCTTTCTCATATATGAAATGAGAACAGTACCTAATTCTAGGGTTATTATGGTAATTAAGTGAAATAGCATCTTTGAAAGGCCAGGTGTAAAAAATACCTGGAGAGGGGGTACGTATTATTAAGATCCCTGACAGACTAAGATTATAGACAGGCATCTTTCATAGGCAAGTCTTGTTCTAGAACACTTGTCTTGTTAATCTTTCTTTTTCGGTAGAACCTGCAGGACATATGACAAGGAACTGAGTTTTATTGACAAATTTTAGGGATAAAATCTTGCTTATCCCTTCCTCACTGTAAGCTCCAAAATGTAGCAGTAGGAGATTAAGCATGTTGAAATTTTAATTTGATTTGCCTTCAGTTACTTTTTTTTAATTTGTGTGGGTCAGTGTCCAGTGTCCAGGAGGTGATGAAATTTCAATTGAGCTATTTCAAATCCTGAAAGATGATGCTGTGAAAGTGCTGCACTCAATATGTCAGCAAATT